AAATGAACCACAGACTTATACGGAAGCCGTGACGTCTACCAAAGGTCCTATGTGGAAAGAAGCCATCAAAAGTGAGGTGGATTCTATCCTTAAAAATCACACATGGGAATTGGTTGATCTTCCTCCGGGAAATAAACCTTTGGGATCCAAGTGAATTTTTAAACGGAAAATGAAACCTGACGGTTCCATCGATAAGTACAAGGCCAGACTTGTAATCAAGGGATACAAGCAACGTGAGGGCCATGATTACTTTGACACATATTCTCCTGTGACGAGAATAAATTCCATTAGGATGATACTAGCAATTGCCGCATTGCGGAAATTGGAAGTTCATCAAATGGACGTAAAAACCGCTTTTCTAAATGGCGATATAGACGAAGAAATCTATATGGAACAGCCCGAGGGCTTTCGTGTTCTAGGCCAAGAAAGGAAAGTGTGTAAATTAATTAAATCATTGTATGGATTGAAACAAGCCCCTAAACAGTGGCACGAAAAGTTCGTTCATGCAATGTTAATTAATGGTTTTAAAATAAACGAAAGTGACAAATGCGTCTATGTGAAAAGCACGGTAGACGGCTATGTCATTTTATGTTTATACGTGGATGATATACTCATCGTGGGTAGCAATAATCTAATGATTAATTCTACCAAAAGCATGTTAAATTCTAAATTTGACATGAAAGATATGGGGCTGGCCGATTTAATCCTTGGGATCAAAATAATTAGAGGACCTGATGGTCTTACGCTAAGCCAATCCCATTACATTGATAAAATCCTTACGAAATTTAATAAGGATGATTATCAAGAGGCAAGTACTCCATTAGATAAAAACGTACAACTTACCAAAAATCATGGAGAGTGTATTTCTCAAGTAGAATACGCTAGGATTATTGGAAGCTTGATGTATCTAATGAGTTGTACCAGGCCTGATATTGCCTTTGTGGTTAGTAAGCTAAGTAGATATACTAGCAACCCCGGTGATGAACACTGGAAGGCAATAATACGGGTTTTGAGGTATTTACGTAAAACCCAAAACATTGGACTGCACTATGGAAGATATCCAGCTGTACTTGAAGGGTATAGCGACGCTAGTTGGATATCCGACATAAAGGACCCTAAGTCCACAAGTGGATATGTTTTCACTTTGGGAGGTGCAGCCGTGTCATGGAAATCCTCAAAGCAAACGTTAATAGCTAGATCCACGATGGAGTCTGAGCTAATAGCCTTGGATAAGTGCACTGAAGAGGCTGAATGGCTACGCCATTTTCTCGAGGATATTCCAAGTTGGGAGAAGCCTGTCCCTCCAATATGCATACATTGCGATTGTCAAGCGGTAATGGGAAGGGTACAGAGCAATATGTACAATGGTAAGTCTAGACACGTTCATCGTAGACGTAACACCATTAAACAACTCCTCACAACGGGTGTTATCACTGTTGACTACGTGAAGTCAAAGGATAACATAGCGGATCCGCTAACCAAGGAATTGGATAGAGAATTGTTGGAGAAGTTGTCACGAGAAATGGGACTAAAGCCCGTGAATTGAAAAGTTCTATAATGGATACCCAACCTAGTTGGTCCTAGGTTCAAAAGGGACAACTAAATTAAAGAGCGAAGGATGGTCACTGTGGGGATCCCGGACTCCTACCCACTCCTCGTTAAAACAGTGACTCCCACATGAGGTTAGCAAAAACGTTTGCTTTAATGATTCTAAAATGTTGATCTACTCGATAACATTGGAAGAGTGTGCGGGATACTCGTGAAAGAATCACCTATGTGAGAGAGAAGAGGGCCGCTTCAAAGGAGAACTGTAAAGGCTCAGTTCTTTAGAAACTCTTGCAGAACCAGGACGGTGACCCATGGCCAAAATGGGCACACCCATGAGAACGGAACAAAGTTGGAAGGTTCTTGTATAAAGATAAGTCAATGTTTACACGACGGCAGTATAGTTCAAGGACATCGAGTCTACTAGACAGCCAGTAAATAAACGTGTCTTTACAACGGAAGGTTCAAAGGATAAAACCTACCTCTCCGTATGCAAGGATCATCCGGTGAACACAACGTGTCCTCCTATCTTCGTGTCTTTTTAAGTCTCGAAAATCAATTTTCATTCATGTGGGGGATTGTTGGAAAAATGTGTTAAAAATTGCATTAAATGGTGATTTTGGGGCAATTATTTGAGTGGGGTCCACTTCCGATTTGGGTCGGGTCAAAGTTGTTTCGGATTGTTCTTGTTAAGGGCTACAATTCGATATATGGTACACTCAAAACGGATAACGGGTGAATGAGAAATTGATTCTCGAAGTTCACTCGTTGAAATGGAAAAACTGGGAAAATGATGGGTTTCTAGTGTGTTTTATCCCACACCGAAAAACTCAAGGGATTTTCACCCCCTTATAAAGGGAAACCTCTTTTAAGGAGTTAAGATTTCTAAGGGTAAAGGCTCTCTCTTACGCGTGGGGGGGGGGGGGGGGGTGCCGATCAAATCTCGAAACGGAGAAGAAAAACCGCGACTCGTGTGCGCGGGCGACCTGCGGACACGAATGTCGTCCGAAAACCTATCATTCAACTAGGTCTTCTGTTTGCAACAGAGATCCTCGAGGTCTTCTGTTCGCAACAGAGACCCTCGAGGCCTTCTGTTCGCAACAAAAGGTCTTCTGGTCCGTTACAACAATTAATGCCCGACGTTCTTCTCTTTTAATGTTGCGTTAAATGGACAGTTTATAGACGATTCAATGCCCAACGGACTGGTCAGTGATGTCCAACGTTCAGGTTCATTAACACCCCATTTAACATACAACAAATCCTCCTATAAATAGCTGGCAGGTGCTTTGCAACAAACACACGGTTTGACAACGCACAATACTTTCCTCACGTTTTCTTGAGTTAAAAAAACTTCCAGCTACTCCCAAATTTCTTAAGTGTTCTTACTGTGTTCTAGTTCGCCGGAACTTTCGTTTGTGTGCTCAAACGATCGTTCATTAGCCACCGTATCCTGGGAAACGGTCGTTGCAACGCTCCTAGCACCGTGGGAGGCGACGAATACGTTTTAAGGACATCGTGCGTAGCACGAGCTCTGGCTAAAATCTGTTCCATCTTATTTTCTGTTTTCTTTTAGCTATTTTGTTTATTAATTAATTTTATTTAATTAATATTTCTTCGTTTATTCCGAAACACACCCAACACCACCTTCATGGCGTATTTGGCCACCTTCCTCAAATACGTTCCCTCCCCAATGACACACGATTGGGAAGTTTGAGAAATCCATATTCTAATAACAATACATGTCCAACTTTCATGAGTACACATTAATATACACAATTCATGTACCCAAATTAATCATTTCATATACATCACAACATATTAAGCAAATCCTATATGATATATATACACTTAAAAATGGAAAAATATATCATTTTAAAAAAATACATTCTAATTTTTGAGTTTTTTAGCATTAATAAAGTTCAAAAATTTAACAAAGTTCAATTCATACCTCCAAATCTACATTACATAACAAAGTTCCAAAAAAAAATTATATAACAATGAATTCAACATCAACATTCAACACTTCATACATATTCACATTACACAACAAATCAATTCACAAATGAATTCTTAATTTACAAAATCCAATTTTCTATATTCTAAATCCTAAAATGAGATAAATTGGAGATATTTATTTACCTAGAGTGTTGAAGAGGATGGAAGTGAAGTAGTATTGACAAGATAGGGAGGCCTCGCCTAAGTTTCGTCGGACTTGGAACCTGTTTTCGCCGCTCGCCGCTCGTCCTGGCTCGTCCTCGCTGCGCTGCTTTTGGGAAGGGGGGGGTTTGCTGTTCTGACTGTGGCGTAGATTGACCCAGCGTTTTAATTTAAGGGTAAATAGCCAAACGGTTGGGCGACTTATAAGTCGTCAAACCGGATGGCGACTTAAAAGTCGTCCAACCGTTTGGCGACTTACCCCGACCATGGTTAACCCAACAGTATATTGGTAAATACTTTTAACACAACATTATTTTCGTAATTAATTAATTAATTAGCATTAATTCAAAAAAAACTCAAAATAATAGAGATAATAATATAGAAAAGCTAGGAGAGAAGGCCAATTGAGTATTTTTATAGAAAAAAACTTACCAAAAGACGAAATATAACAAAATTTTAAATACATTCAAAAAAGAAAAAATGTAGCAAATAGTAAAATATGGATGGAGTAATAATAATACTAATAAATAATAATATATTTTTTGGTTGAGCTTTATAACTCATCTTCTATGTTGAGGTCAGCATCTTGAGATTCGAATTTATTACCTTTTCTTTAACCGGCCCTAGAGGGGTGCCAATGTTGCCTAAGGATGGCAATGGGGGCGGGGCTTGGGGTGGGTGTGATATTTTTACCCGGCTAAAATATGGGGTGGGGGACGGGAATTGCTACACCCGCGCCGTCTTCATTATAAATATATATATATATATATATATATATATATATATATATATATATATATATATATATATATATATATATATATATATATATAGGGTCGGGTTCTAATGAGAAGATACCTTAACGTGAGAAGTGAGAAGTTACACATTTACCTATTCCTGATGCACTTTTTTGCTAATTTGATGCACTTTTTGCGATGGCAGCAAAGTTGCGATTAATTACGGAAATGCCACCGTGTCTAGCATCACTGTTTAAATATTTTTTGCACTTTCCCGTGCACTTTTTTGCTAATCAAATGCACAGATCTTAAAATGAACGCATCAGATGCATTCTCACTTCTTACGATAAGCACTCTTCTCATTTGATCCTTATTCTATATATATATATATATATATATATATATATATATATGTAAATATATATATATACACACACATACATATATAAATAATGTATAAACATATTTAATTAAGTTATGTGTTGTGTATAAGAAAGGCATACATGTACATATATAGACATACCGTTATGTATGTGTTTTTGTCATGATTAATGAATTAATTCATATTATATCAGAATAATAAGTAACAAGTAAAAATATTTATCATGAATGCTAAATGAGTGGATTCCATTGTTTAACAGTAAATTCAGAATTAAAAAACCAAGAGCGGCCATAGTCCCTCTCGTGGGGTTTTTTGTTCTCCGCCGATTTTGTGCGGCTACTTTGCTTCTATTGACGAGGCATTGTTTCCATGGTTGTGGACGGAAGTAAGGCAGGGACAGGAGGGTTGCTGCAGCGGCTCAACAGCGATGGTAGGGCGCCAGCAAGCGATGGACAAGGGGAACAATTGATCGAGAAACACATCGGGAAGGCTTGTCTGGTGATCAATTCAGCTCATCAGGAAACCAAACGTCGGAGGACTGGTGCAACGGACTGGAGCAGAGGCGCTAGGGTTTGGAGCCGTGTCTTGCCCACGTCAAAAATCATAGCGAAGGTCCGGCCTCCTCCTGAACCACCACCATGGGTTGTACGATGTGCTAGAGTCTGTGAAAGTTTTCCTATTAATTTTTATTATTTTGTCATTTGGTTTCTTGCTACCGTCTATGTTGGTAGGTTTGTCAATTTGTTTGGGATTTTAGCCTTTTTTATGTCATTGGGTATTTTTGGATCTATGGGAACAGAGACGGTTGTGTCAACTGTCAAGCCCGGTGCATGGTTAGCGATTCATGTTGCTCTTTCAGGGGTGACCGTCTCTAAGTCTGATCATAGGGTTTACAATCGTAGTTATTGCTGTTTAGTTGGTGTCAGATTTTTTTTTTTTGATTGATGTAATGATCCTGAAACTTATGATATGAATAGAGGCAAGTTTACGATTAAAAAAAGAAATGCTAAATGAGTTTTAAAAGTGAGAAAGTGAGTAAATAGAACACACACATATATGTATATTATATAATTATTGTATTTTAATTGATGAGAAATTTGGAAGAATATGTTTACTTATGTTTTTACTTTTATTGTCTTCACAGAACTTATTCAAATCGAAGAATTATTAAAAATGGCGGTAATAAGTTTTATCAAACACAATATTATCTGCTAGTTTAACTCTTTCGGTGCCCCACACACATATATATAATGTATTAAAAAATATACACATAAGATAAATATAATCTATATGGGGCACCCATGGGGGACAACGGGGTGGCACGGGGGCGGGGCGGGGGCGGGGGCAGGAGTAACGAGGCGGGGATGTGGAGAACTTTTTAGAGATGGGGCGGGGATGGGGGAGTGAACCCCACCCCTAATTTTAAAAATGACTTAGTTTTTAAGGTAAAAGTTAATATGTAAAAAAATCAAAAATATTCTTTGTAACGGCTTAGTTCGGCCTAGTGGTCTGGCTCCTCCCCTAAATGTCATAGTGATACATTGACCATAATTTACTTAGCAAAAATAATAATAATGCTAATAATAATAGTAATAATAATCTCCGAGTTCATCTCATCAGTGAGCAGTACAAAGGAGCGATCATAAGAATGGTAGAGTAAAATGTGCAGCTAAAAGAGACTCCTCTAAATACTTGTCTTTGAGATAAAATCATTGAGGTCCGAGCTTGCCTAGCTAGTTGCCTTTTAGTTAATATTTTGAAAAGAAATGTTTCAAGTGTTAATATATTTTGCAATAATATTTACATGAATGGAGCCCTTTAAAAATGTCAAGAATTGACCACTAGTTATTAAATATAGAGTTAATAGTCAAATCTTTTCATGAGAAGAAGTGTTACATATCAAATGAGAGGTGCCAACTTTGTAAAACTACAGACAACATTGCTTTTGAAAATTGCTCATATAGAAGAGGCCAAATATCCTAAATGGTTTACCAAAGTAGTACATGCAACTTGAAAAATGTGTATGGGTTACAATATCAATAGTCTTAGCATCAGTTACGCCAAGAGATGCACCAATGTTGGCAAAACTAAACATAAATGTTTATTTATATGGAAAATTAAATGACTACTAATATAGTCATCAATTTTTATTCACACTTTGTGGTCTCTAAAATAATTTCACACACTCTTATCTTCATGAAAGATATATAGCATGTTCGATTTAATGAGTCACATAACATCAAGGTTAGTTTTAAAATCTATTATGTATCAAAGATGTAAATTAATTCTTTCACATAACGCTTGTCTCGAGAACAATATATTTATTTGTGAAAACACTTCAAGGATACAAGGCGTTGTGAGGCCAAAACATAGAATTCACTTAAATGTCCACTGAATTGTTCAAACAATGAGGTATTTGTTTGGAGGCTCATCTCCCATACACAAGCATTGTGTCTACCAGATCAACAAAAAACTGCTATTGCGTTCTTCAAAATTTTCTCGCAAACTCTTATCCCATCTCATATGCATTATGTGTTTGTGAGAACAACAAAAACTAAGTTGTAAGAAGTATGTATGAGTGAATGCAATCTCACATACACCAATTTCTACAAGAAAAAGAAAAACCTCAAACAACCATTAACTCCTTAATGACAAATATTTGTATGATAGCGGAAGGGGGTCGATAAAAAACCCCGTATTTTAAAAAAATATGGACTACACTTTCTTCTGAATCTGGAACATTTTCTTTCTGATTCATCTGCGACGTTATACTCAAATTCAAATTTCTCCTTTAAATTCATGAAAACATCATTTTTTTTCTTCGATTTAGCAGTCTAAGCTATCATGTTTAGAAGAAATGATATGACTATAATGAACAAAAATAAAATGAATACATCCTGGGAATTCTTCCCACAAACACGGTCTTGTTTATGAGCTCATTTTATAGACATCAAGAACATAACCCCAACATATATGTCCTTCCTAGCTTTGTCACCAACATGTATGTGAGAGTTCATCTCGATGATGCCATGCATGTATTCATGAGAACAAAAGTCAAATATTGTGTCACATGAATCACATACATGAGTGTATGTGAGTAAATATATAGTGTGTGAGAACGTAAAAAAGTAGTGCAACAATAGAAATGCCCAAAAAGATTCCTCAAAACAGAACTTTAGTTTTATTTACAAAAAATAGGGTAACCCATATGCCATTCAAGCAAATTAAACAACTCAGGCGTATAAAACACTTTCCTTATTTATTAACTTCATGATGCTTAGGATGGAATAACATCCACTCTTAGGGTGTGAAAGGAATTAGATAGAAAGAGGAATGAGAAGTCATAGTCTCTACCAATGTTCTAAAAGGCGCTAGGCGGATGCCTAGTCAAGGATTAGTTAGAGACATATAAATTACTGCATATAATTTTGTTAATATTTTTGCATAAATATGATAAATAATTTTGTGTTTTTGTATGTATAAAAAAATACACACACGCATACATTATAACTACTCACTTAACTTTATTATGTGATATATACGTAGTATTAAATATTCAATAATAATAAAATTTAAGAACATATACAAATATTTATAGTTTTTATCTTAATCTACAACTAGTAGTTTTCTTCATATGTGTTGTTAAAGTTAAATGTACATATATGTCTTAAAAAAATAAAAGAAAAAAGAAAAAAAAATGTTCGGGGAATCTAGGCCCCTTAGGCGGCCGATTAAGCATTCTGGATGGGCAACTGGGCACCCTAGGCGGCCGACTAATTCACATAGATGCCAAATCAATTAGTCAGAGTGTATAGACTAAAATTGGGGCGCCCAACCACCACATAGCGCCTAGACAGGGACTAATCATTGCCCAGAGCAATTTTCACAAAAATGGTCTCTGCTCTCTAGTTGTTAAAGTGTACACATGGCATGGCTTGGCACAAATAAATAGATATTGCTATTTCATTATATAAGGTGGAGAGTGGCCATTCACGTCCAAGCCTTCCGTTTTTATCTTTATTCCATTTCGATAACAAATTGAAGTAAAGTGTCCAAAGATTTAGCGTCTATTTATGTTGCTTTCTAGAAAAGGTGATCATCAATGGTACCAATGCCACCAATCACCTGAGCTAAAATATTGTTTAGTGAGGTTTACTTTCATGCATAACATCCAAGCTAATGTTCATAATATTGGCATGTCTACATTCTGAGCCCACCACCACTTGCACCATTTTCAACCTTTAAGATCCTTGGAAGTGTTTGAAAATATTGCCAGTAGAGTGATGATAAGCAAAGACACATAAGGCAACGCTAAATTTAAATCAAGTTTTTTTCTTTCAATCAATACAAATAACTTTGGGAAAAGTACGGAAAAAGTACTTGTAGTTGAGCTCGTTTGCAGATAGGGTCATGTGTTTCATTCTTTATCAAAGTGATTCATGTGTTTGGATTACGTTATCACAAGAGTGTCACGCCGTTAAAAACGTCCGAAAAAGACTGTTAAAAGTTACTCCGATTTTCAAAAGTGCCCGAAAAATTAAAAGAAAAATACCGGAAGTTGCGTCTCAATAAGACAACCGCTAGGCTATCTTTCTTTTTTTGTTTTCAACCACCTTTGTCACCGGAAAGTCCATCGGAAAAGTGATATTAGCGAAATCATTTTTGAAAAATAATTCAAACAGATCTGAAAAATCCAAAGGCGAAGGTGGTTTCGAGGTCATCTTGACGAGACGCACCTTTCGGTATTTTACTTTTAACACCGTTAAAAAAGTCCGAAAAAGACTGTTAAAAGTAACTCTGATTTTCAAAAGTGCCCGAAAAATTAAAAGAAAAATACCGGAAGGTGTACCTCAATAAGACGACTGCTAGGCTATCTTTCTTTTTTGTTTTCAACCACCCTTGTCACCGGAAAGTCCATCGAAAAAGTGATATTAGCGAAATCATTTTTGAAAAATAATTCAAACAGGTCTGAAAAATCCAAAGGCGAAGGTGGTTTCGAGGTCATCTTGACGAGACGCACCTTTCGATATTTTTCTATTAATTTTTCAGGCACTTTTGAAAATCAGAGTTACTGTTAACGACCATTTTCGAACGTTTTTAACGGAGTGAGACTTTTGTGATAACGGAATTCAAACACATGAACTAATTTGATAACGAATGAAACACATGACCCTATCTGAAAACGGGCTCAATCACAAGTATCTTTTCTGTACTTTTCCCAATAACTTTAATTCATGTTGCAGTTCGTGTCGGTTTTCACACAAAAAGAATAGTGTATTCAGTCTAAAGTTTTGTCACCATATCATTTTCCAAAAGCCAGTCACAAGACTCACAACTGCAAAAGCTCAAACATGAAAAGATCACCAATCGTGAAGACCGCGATCTATAACAAAAAATAGTACAGCACATCGCTTGTACAACATTTGTACATTAACTTCACATTTTGTGTGCAGTGTGAGTGTGTGACAAACAAGTTGTGAACAAAAAAACTTGCCAGTGGGCAGGTGGTCCTTTTTTGCTGTAACTTCTAAACACACGCACTCACAAACACATTCTCAAAAACTATTGTTTTTGAGAACAAATATATTGTTTGGTATGTACTGTGTAGGGGTATACAGCCATACAGGTGTGGTAGAAAAAGTATTTTTCCACATGAAATTCAAGAACTTTGGAGTACAATGTAGCCATGTAGGGATGGACTGGGACCGGGCGGCCCGACCCGGGACCGATTTTAAGGTACTGGTACCAACCCGGGACCCAAACCGTGGGTAGAACGGATCAGCCGATCAGGCTTCAGGCTTGATTTTTTGGGACCAGCCTGGACGGGCCCGGGCCTAACCGCTACTTTAAAAAGACTTTCTTTTAAATTAGGTGGGCCCGACCCAGGACTGACCCGGTGCTGGTACTGATTGGGCCTAGATCAGGCCCGGTATCGGACCAAACCGGGTCGGTACCGAGCTTCACTTTTTCAGTACCGCGACCCGCCGGGCCCAGGCCCGACCTGAGTCCAACCCTAGTACAGTGTACCGATTATATCAGATTACACTGGAGATGCATTTGAAAGCTATTTACTGATGTAATGTGAGTTCAAACACATCTCAGATCACTGTATATCAGCCTCGTAGCAGTTGTGTATCATCAAAAGACGTGCGATCAATTCATCATGCTAATTCAATGTACAGAAGCAGACCTGCTTTACAATGGTTAAATCTAAAGAGCATCTCTGGGTAATTATAATTAAATGACAGCAAGACAAAAATAAGATAATTTAGAACCCATTTGGTATCACGAAAATCGGCTGATTCGGCTTATTCTGCTGAAACTTATGAAGTTTTGGATGAAGTGGCTAAATTGGCTGATTCTACTGATTTAAGAAACAATTATTTTTAAAATACATTTTATTAATAAAATAAAGATAAAATTATATGTAAAAATAGCTAAAATGGTCGTCGACGGTAACTTCAACCAATACAGCCAGAAAAGTAACTCTAATCTTACTTTTTCTTATTATTACACAATTCAACGCACGAAAACAAAAGTTACGTGTTTGGTGAAAAAGATGACTGATAAGCCTGATAAGCCGAAAAACAGTGTTACCAAACGACCTATAATATAGTGATCAATGAAATGTGTTTTCCTTTTCTTCATCTGACATTTATACAAGTACAAGTATGCAACTATTGCTTCAGAGCAGCTAAGGTATACATACACAAGAAGAGTTGCATTGAAAATAATCCCCTCATGAGTGCTCATGTCCAAAACACTATATGACCGCACTACAGAGCATGAGCATGTGTGATCAGTGTGGTAACTGTCTGCAGGTTGGACAGTACCACTTGCCTTTAAATCTAGTCTCGGGTGTGAGTCCAACACAAGCATAGTGGAACCATTCACCTCCTTGGCACTGGCAATAACTAAATGTTAGGTGAATAATACAAGATATGAAATAGTAGTTATTAACTACGCATTGCTAGTCACACCATGTACAACTATGTAGGGATGGACTCGGGTCCGGGCCAGGTCCGGGTCGGGCCTAGGCCCGAGCGGGCCGGCGGTTCAGAAATGGTGGACCCGGGACCGGCCCGGGTAACCACCGGGTCCGGGCCGGGCCCATTATCAATTTTTTTTTTGTTTTCCTCTTCCTAATTAACCCCCCTCCCACCCCCAACCCCCCAAACCACCCCAAATGGCCCAAAATACCCAGCCCAACCCGAAAATTTAAAAAAAAAAAATTGAAAATAAAAAGGTTTTGGCCCGAACCGGGCCCGGGCCCGGCCTTGTTTTGGATGACCCGAGCCCGGACCGGAAAACCCACGGGCCGGGCCTACCCGGACCGGTCACTGACCGGGCCACCGGGTCGGGCCGGGTCGGAACAGTACCGGTCCCGGGCCGGTTCCAGGTCGGGCCACCCGGCCCGAGTCCATGCCTACAACTATGGAACAGAGAGCTGTCTAACTGAATGGTTTTCATATACTAATGGTAAATAAACATTATAAATTTTTAATTTCTACTCGAGGAAAGAATAGTTGGTGTGGTTGACATTGTTTCTCCCAAGTCTCACTTTCAGTTAAATCTAACTTTCCAAAAATCATTGTTTCTCTGTCCAAAAAAAAATCTCACTTTCCTTTTGGGTTGTCCCAAAATAAACTTATAATTTCCACTCGAGGAAAGAATTGTGTGGTTGACATTGTTTCCGCCAAATCTAAATCATGCATTTTTTTTCGTGTGCCTAAAGCAAATTGGATTATTGGAAGTTTAATTTGGTAGGGAGAGAGTACAGTACAAAATGCACAATCTGAAAATGTTCTGTGATTGTTCTGTCAATGCATCATACAATAATATCGACCTTTTATCTTTTGGAAACTAGCAAATAGTAGTTATGCAAATGTAGCTTATGCAAATGTTGTTGCATAAACAAAATCATTATACATAATGAAGGCTAAGGAGGGACAGATGGATCAAAAGAAAGCCACTCGGGGTGGGTCTTATTCTTCTTTAAATACGTACTAAATAATATCAGTGAATTTAATATGCATGCCATGCATATCCGTTTTTATCAAGAACTGCTAACACATCAATTAAAACTGTTAGGAACCACAACAAACGCAGCAGAATTTTTGTAATATATTGATGAAAGATCTCAGAACTACAGTGACGGAAATAGAAAGAAAGAGAAGAGCAGATACTATTGAGACACTTCGAGTAGTCTCACACTCCCAGGCATTTCTGCCTAACCTCTTATTTCTCCATGCCCTTCTATTTATACTATCCGTTGTTGTTGTTGTTGTTGTTGTTATCATTATTATTATTTTTATTATTATTATTATCAACACTAGTCTATCCGGGTACAATCATATCTCCCCCCTTAGACAACCACCTTGTCCTCGAGGTGGGCGATAGGAAACAGCCTGACCAACAGCTTCATCTTTGCGCCTCTCCTTTCCCAGTACATCACTGAGTTCTGGACCTTTAGCTTCAGCACCTGAACTGTCCTCTTTATTTCACCGCCGCAGGAAAGGAGAGGTAATGACACTGATGGATAATGTTCCCCCGGTTTGTCACTCATTTATATATCTATAAGCCTAGAGATAAAAGCATTCCAATCTTCCTGATTGGATTGCCTAAGAAAAGAGCTACCAGTACAAATTGCTCATTGAACAGTTTCACAATGAGTGTTCAGTACATCCCACAATGTTCTAGCAGCTGTGATACCCTTGACAGTTTCTTGTTTCAAAGATAGATCCACAAGGTACCCTATCTGGGAGACATCAATTACAGCAGCCTGAAAGGTAGAGTCCAGATCCACATTGATTCCATCCAACCGATATTCAAAATCAAACTCATCAGCCCATCTCAGTCCAGAATCTGTGGAGTCCAAAACTAAAAGCTTGACAATCTTGTTTGCTGACAGAACGCATTCTTGAATAAATGAAAAATCAGTTGAAGAGCATAATGACTGCTGCAATGACACTGCTAGTCGACCAGATTCATTATTAACATAAAGTATGTTCATATGAACAGATTGTCCATCGTAGAATACTTCAAAGGTCTCAGATCTCTTGTCATCTTTAGCCTTGCTTCTATGGACTACCGAATGCGGGAATATTTGAATAACCTCCAGGGAAAGATGATGAGATGTGCTGATTAGTGAGTACTTGGCAGAAAGTACCAAATTGCAACCTTCAACATCAAAAACCAAAAGCTGGTAAATTTCAAAACCAGGCTTCAAGATAGACTTCCTTAACCCAGCAAGATTACTATGATCATATAAATGTTCTGGAAGAATCATTCCTTTCAAACAAATTGGATCATCAGGAGTAACTAGATCAATGGTTCCAGAAATGACATTTCCCGGTTTAACCAATTCATTCTCAGACGACCTCATCGGTCTTGTTGTAAAACTGAAGTTGATTCGTCTTGCTGCAGGGTTAGAACTGACCTCTCTGCACTTAACAACTTGCTCAACCTGATACCTTGAGTTTATTTCAGAGCTAGGATCTACTCCAACCTCAGACTGAGGAAAAAAACCTTGCCCTCAATTGTAGACTCGAACAAAGCAACCGTGCTTTTCAATCTTCATCCATCCCTGTGTCAATTGTCTTTCAGTAGCATCAGTGTATGAGATGATGCTTTTGGACTTGCCACCTGAAAATTCTTCCCCGGCTCTACTATTTCAATTTCTAACGTATGTCGTAGAGAGCAAATCGCTTTCATGCCACTTGCAAATTGCAAAATGGCACAAAAACTGTCAACAGTAATAACTTTACGTTTTTACCCTTTACTATCATCCCCAGCTTGGAATCTTAGTGAGTGAAAACTGATCCTTCAATGCAATATTCTGTGGATCATCCTGCACCAATGACTTTGCCAAGGCACCCAGGAGTATTACAACGCTGTCACCCACCAGAGCTTTGCCCTGACTTTCAGCATAAGCAACACCCTTCTCATCCCTCTTCTATTAGTAAGTGTGTGAACCATGTTACCCCTTTCCAAATCCTCATCTCTTTTCCAGCAATTGCCATATGAGACCGGTTGTCAAAACCTACACCTCCATCTAGCACTAGAATACAACTGCTGTCATTCCCCTAGCATTTCCACCAACCATTCTGGCATCAATGGTGGTTTCCGAGCCAGCATAAGCTGCTGCTGCTTCCTTTTCTTCGTCAGTTCGCCATTCTGATAGTGACCTACTGTCAACCAGCACCTTAAAACCTTCAAAGTAGCGATCTAGCTGTTGATTTGGAAATTCCAGAACCTGCGCATAAATTGCAGCGACATGTGACCATGATTGTTGTTTATACCCATACTCAAAGCACTTCTCCCACCAAGGAAATGTTAAATAGTCTGTTCCCACACACACCAACGCTCCTTCACACAACCTTCTGACTGTTTCAGGATTTCCACAGCTTTTCCTGGCAATTACACAGTAGTACAACCACATTTCTACTGAATATGTCATTCCTTGAACTGCTCCCTTTTATACCTTAACAGCTTTATCCCTAGAACCAATATGTGCTTCGTGATCTGCATACTTCTTCATAATGTTCCCCTCTGCTATTTTCTCAGTTTCCTCTATACGGACAGTCCAGGCACCAAAATACAGAGAATTGGTTCTCACAATGTTCCCTAATGGTTCCTCTTTATGAGATATGGCAACATCATCTACTGGCCAACGCATTGTGGTGGCATCATGTATAATGTCTGATGATATTTAATTTTATCCGACTCCATTGAATGCTGCATCTCTCACCTTGCTGTTAATTCCATTTATAGAAGTATACAAGGTAGCTTGAGATTCATCTACTTGTTCAGCAATAGTAAGGATGTCCTGCTGAGCATAATCTGTAAATTTAGCTGCACCTACATCGGAACCTTGAGTTCTATCAACAAGGGTTGCAGATGTAACCGGATCTCCAATACTAGTGTGTCACCCTGAATATTCAGTACTTATATAAATTTCAGGAACCACTTTGCTCTCCAACTCAGAAGTATTTGACCCAGCAATTTTATAATCGCAAGATTTATATAATTATATTCCATGGCAATCGATGATTGGGTCACCACATAAGATTTCTCCTCTTCTCTCTCCTCACCATCATCAATGAACATATCTTCAGAAGAAGGTTGCCACTAATTAACAGATTCCTGATGGAACGAGGAGGTTTGCGCCCTGTGTGAAGCCGTTTGCGAATACACCTGTGAACTGGAAGACTTGACGAGTGAAATGGTAACGGATGATGAAGCCTGCGAACTGGTAACATTTTGGATAGTGATGAAGTCTGGGAGAAATCTACTCGCGGCGAGGAAGAAGATGTTGGCGAGGAAACCTGCGGACTGAGACAGCTGCTTGCGATAGCAACGTATCTTTGCTTTCCGAATTCCGGCAGCGTCATACAGTCCTCGATCGTACTCGCCAGCAACGTTGTTGACGCAGCTTGGTGTGCATCTTGTCCAATGGATCCTCATTTCCTTCGCCCAATCACTTTCAACCTTTTCATTGCTCTTCGCACGCTTCTCCCTATTCAAGCCATTCTCCAGGTTCGTGCGCTTCTCGATCGTACTCGTCAGCGACGTTGACGCAGCTTGGTGTGCATCTTGTCCCACGGATCCTCATTTCCTTCGCCCAATCACTTTCAACCTTTTCATTGCTCTTCGCGCGCTTCTCCCTGTTCAAGCCATTCTCCAGGTTCGTGCGCTTCTCCAATCTCCATGTTTCCGCGCGAGGCATCCTGATCGGATCTTCAATGCTGCCTGCACAGTTCCTTCCCCCCTTGCGTAGACATGCGCTTCTCAATGTTCACACGCAAACCAGAGGCGGCCACCTTCTGTTCGGACAGTCGATGTTCCCTGCGCTGCTGCATTTTTTATCACGTGAATGTCGATCAAAGCTTCCCAGGGTCGACTGCTCTGATACCAATGATAGGAACCACAACAAACGCAGCAGAATTTTTGTAATATATTGATGAAAGGTCTCAGAACTACAGTGACGGAAATAGAAAGAAAGAGAATAGTGGATACTATTGAAACACTTCGAGTAGTCTCGCACTCCCGGGCCTAATTTCAAATTAAATTTCTGCCTAACCTCTTATTTCTCCCCGCCCTTCTATTTATACTACCCGTACAGTTATTATTATTATTGTTGTTGTTGTTGTTGTTATTATTATCAGCACTAGTCTGCCCGGGTCCTATCAAAAACCCCATATGACCGTTAGCTTTCAAGTATCAGTTAAAAGCATCGGAAAAAAGTTGAAGGTAGTACAAAGTGTTGGCCTGTTTCATGTATACCAATACTATTCGTTAATAAATATGACCATGCTCAATGCTTTTAGATAATAAGGCTGATAATAACCAGTGAGTCTGTGATAAAATGCTTACATTTTCATTGTCACATGCAATCATATCACCGAATGATACCTGAAAAATCCACCATTTATCAGAAGTGAGGAGACTATAAGAGCTTATTTTATGCTTTCAACACGAGATATATAAGTTATACGTTTTGATGTGTGACATAATTGAAAAAGATAACTAGCAAATTTGTAATTAATGGCCAGAAACAAACCTGATGACAGACACAGTATGTAGGCTCATTTGGATCAATGGGTTGATCGATATCAACTGGAGAAGAGAAATCCTTTTTTAGGCCTCCTGGAGGTGGCATAAGCTCAAAGTCCCTGTCACGCTCACGGTCCCAATCTCTCTCCCTATATTCAAGTCTTTTTGACTGAGGCATTCCATACATATGTTTGCGCTTTTCAGATTTGAGGACCAGAGGCAATGGAGGAAGAATGGCTGGTTCATCTGCTGGCAGTTTTCCCTCTGCAAAATTACAGAGTAGAAACAAGGTGAGCAAGATTCATTAATAATTAAAAAACTAACCATTATTATTATAGGCGATAAAATCATTAAATGACATTAGAAGTTTATAACCCATCTTGATAGGACCAGTACAACAACAACAATATCCAAGCCATAGTTCCAAAAGAGTTTGGGGTCAGCTAACATGAGAGGATCAGTAGTTAAATAAAATAATTCGTATTGAGGAGAGTTTTATGCAATAAAGGACTTCCTTTAAATATTACTCCCTCCGTCTCAAATTGTGTTGCACAATTGACTTTTTTGGGGTCAAATAGATTCATTTTATTTACTTAATTAGGATATCAAATCCCAATTACATTTTAATTTGGATTTTGCAACTTTATAGATATTCTAATTTTAACAATAGGGGGTTTAACTTTAATGTTGGTTGACCAAAAAATGTTGACTTTGCAAAACAATTTGGGACGGAGGTAGTAGTTTTCAGTAAAAAGAGCCCTTATTTATATTTCCACGTAAATGTCTGAGGTATATAGTGAACCTTGCTTGAGATCTTCTACAAAGTTGTTAAGATCTTCATCAAGGCGCTTTATATGGCTATCTATCTGAAAGAAGAAAAGCTCACAAAATTAGAAAAAGCTAGAAGTAAAACAGTGAGAAGCTAAACATGATAATCATAGACTCAATATACTCCGTATAAAACTGCTGCATTTGCATTTGTCAGACAAACCATGTTTCATTACAAAGTAAATTCATGCTGAATGAAGTTGTGACATAAAAATAATATCCTGCTTCATGGCATGCTTACAATGTCATGAGCTTGTCTTGCAAGCAAAACTTTCTCAGTGCAAAGGCTTAATGCATTGTTCTGGTTCACCTCAATCTCCTTCCTCAACCTTTCGAAGGCTTCATCATCCTCGTAATTACTTTTCCGTGACCCATGATTCTGAGAAGCTAATCCTAGGCAATAATTTGTGTGCTGCCTACTGTGGTTTATCATGGCTTCAGTTCCATTCCATGCAAAGATGCAAGCACTTCTTAGAGTTAACTAATGTTAACTTCGAAATAAACATAATCTAATATAGAACCAAAAATGATCCTCAAGCTCAATATGCAAGAAAACTAAAGAAATTACACACACACAAAAATGCAGGGCATATACATTTGCATAGAGAAAAAGAATGGATTAACCTTGGGAACGTTCATCGAGTTCTCTGATAGTATTGAGAAGCCTCTGAAGCTCAGCGGGCAATGTGTTCGAATCTATTGCAGAGATTCAGAAACTCGATATCATACTATTTAGATACATTTGCAAAAAAAAAAAATGCAGGTAGCTGAAAATATTGCTTACATTCCAAATAATCATCGACAAAGACTCCGGTTCTAGCAATCGCCATGACTTTCTGATGGACTATTCGAAGTGATTGATGCAATTTCCTCTAGGGTTTCCTAAACAAAAGGGGAGCATTTGGGGAGAAAGATTGTACGACGCCGTTTGGATGAAACGCATATCCATTGCTGGGAAATTGGGAATTAGCGTTACTGCATTTTCACCGTTTATCAGCTCCCACGAAAAAAATGGGAATAGGACTATAGGAGTTTTGCGAATTGCGAATTTGCAATCGGTGAGGCCTGAGGAAGTTGCCGGGTTGGGAGTCAGCAGGACTTAAGGCCCATTAGTTTATATTTGGGCTTAGGAGTTAGATTACCGGGAGATGGATTTCTGGGCTTCAGATAACGGAACACGTAGATGCTGAAGACTGCTGGTAGCCTGCTATGTATTACTCCGAAAATATACTACTCCTTAAGGAGTACTATCTTCGTCCCAATTTGATGGTTTCCGTTCATATTCACTTGATCAAGATAAATCACTTTTAATCTCTTACTTTACATATTAAACTTGTATTTAGGGGCGCAGGTAAAAAATTATGTGTAAAAATTTATTTGTAAAAAATATTTTGTATCGGCCCAGCCCAACTCTTACTCCTGGCCACGTCCCTGCTTTTAGTATAGTTTCTGAATATGTAAATCTTATTTGCCACAATAATTTGAGTGCTGACAGGGATTCATTTGCTTTATCATCGGTCAGGTAACGTAAACCGCAACCGGGCCATCAAATTGGAGAGGAGGGAGTAGTTAATTAACAGATAATAATTGGGGTGGGCCTGGACTAAGACTATTCTTTATTTGAATTAATTAAAATGTTCACTCCTATAATTCATAAATATTGATTTCGAGAGAATTCCCCAAATAGGAGCAAAACATAGGCAAAATGCAAAAATAGGAGTACCATGTTTTGAATAGGAGTAACTTTAGTGTTTGGATAAGTATACCTCTACCCAAGCCCCAACTTTTAATTAAATGTTTAATTCATAATAAATTCGAAAAAAATTCAAAAAATCGTAGAAAAATAATTTAAAAAATTATAAAATATTAATAAAAAAATAAATTGATTTTTTAAAAAAAATTAATAAAAAATAGTAAAACTCCATAAAAAATTAAAAAATATATGGATGCCTTTCCCACCACCTGTACTACCTCCCTGCACCACCACCTCCGGGTGGTGAAAAAAAAATCCATTTTTCCTAAAAACTGCCTTTTTCTGAAAATGCCAAAAACATGGCATATTTCTCTTTGCGAATGCCACATTTTCATTGTTTTCTGCCATAAATATGGCATTCGTAATGAACTTGACATTTTTTCCCCTGGTGACTGGAGGTGGTGGTGCTGAGGCGGCGGTGAATTTTATTTTATTTTTTTGAGTTTTTTATTTTTTTTAAAAAAAATATATTTTTTTTATTTTTTGAAAAATAAATAAATAAATAAATTATTATTATCGAATAAGTCATAAATTAACTAGGTTATGATTAAATAAGTCATATTTTAGAATTAACTAGGTTAGGGATATTAATGGTACAAAATTAATGTTTACTCCTATTGAAGGAAGTTTTAAGTTTTACTTCTATTTGTGCAATTATGTTTATATTTACTCCTATATTGGGCAATTTCTATATATTTTAATATAGTCCCTTTTTATTTTTTGCCGTTAAATTTTCGAATAAATTTAACATCTTGTTATGTAAACATGTAAAACAGTTTACATATCGAAGGCATTAACTACTCTTGCAAAAAAAACGAAGGCATTAACTACATGTAAAGATGGGAAAAGGTCTAAAAAGATACTTCTATTTTTTCAAATTCATTACTCGAGTACATATATACTAAAAAGTGCCCAGAATCACTTTGGAAACACAATTATTTCAATCATTATGACTTGCTGTAGAAAGTCATTTTTAAAAAATATACAAATTAAGAAAATTGATATAATTTTATAAAAATTCATACCAATATAAAAATAGTACGACGTATAAATGTCAAAATATATATTTTTGTTGAAGAAATGGTAAAATAAAAAACTAGGAACCAAAAAATAAAAAAACGAAAAAATATAAAATTAAAATGAAAAACTTTTAAAAAGATGTAGAATATACAAATAATTAAAAATATGCAAAAAATATTGAGGTGAATATTTTGGAGTTTTTAGTTTGTCTTCCTATCCTTTTATTTTAACAAATTTATTAGGCTTGTTTCAAAACCTAACTTGAAATAATAGGCCATATCAGGAAAATGACCACATTGATCAATTTTTAAAAGTAGATACTTTTTTTAGTGTAGGAACTTAAGGGAAAAAGAGGTAAGTATTCTTTTCTATTATTTCATATTCCTCATCTGAACCCCTGTACTAAAAAAAGTTATCATGTGGGTACGTGTACTTTGAAAACACAATATCATTTTGACTTGCTATAGCAGATAATTTTTGGAAAAATAAATCACAAAAATTAATGAATTTTATAAAATTTCATATAAACTTGAAAAAAATGATGTAATAATATATAAATTCGTAAAAATGAAAGAAAAAAATAATAATTTGAAAACCCTAAAGGAAATAAATAAAAATTAAAAAAATTAAAAAAAAATTAATATCTAAAAAATATTAAATAAATAATCTAAAAACTTTTAAAAAGATGTAAAATTAAAAAAATCCAAAAAGGCAACACATAGAGTTTGACATTCTTAAATTTTTCAACTATATTTTATTTATATTTAATAGAATTTTAACAGTTTTTTAGAATTTTATAAATTCAAAAACATGGTACTACAGGTTAAAACCTGATTAAATGGCTGGATTGAATTATTTTTTTAAAGTAAGTGTATTTCAATGATACTTTTTTTCAGTAAAAGTGGTTTAAGTGATGTATTAGTAGTAGAAGAGTCAATTTAACCCTTTCCCAAACTTAATTGATGGTTTGAAATTAATTGAAGATTTTATTTGGACTTTTTCACTATTAAAATAAATCCCAACTCTAATAAATTTGCCCTAATTGTAAATTAATTTAAGTAATGATCCTAAAATTTTCTTAAAACTACAATCATTTTAACGATAAAAATGACAAAAATACTGTATTTATTAGTTTGGGAACCAAAACGATATAATGTTGATAATTTAAGGATTATTTATGCATTTTCCCTGATATATCTCTTCTCTACAATCTAATAAGCTTGAATGAGAGTTAGGATATTGTGGGTATAAAACAATTTATTGGTGGTATTGTAAGTTTAGTCCACATGTACAACATGTTAAATGCTTGTAAACTTTCACCTTCACTTGGCTTATCTCCTTATATCCAGCAACAACCGTTGGTCTCCATTATCATTCCCAAGGCCCATACCCCGTTTGGCTTCTCGCTTCCTCTTTTGTTGCACAACAAGTACATTTCGTTCGATCAAATCATAGACCAGACCAGAGATATTCGGTTCGGCAACAAGGACATCCCGTTGCACATCCCCTCTGCTTGTGTTATTTGGTTTAATATGTTTTTCAAATTGATTTTTTATTAAATGCTCAAACATTGTGTTTCTTAAACTCTAACTAAGGTGGAGTGGCGAACCATATGATTTTTTTCAGCGTCAATCCTTGATTCTCCGCCATTATCAAATCGCTTCTCTATAAATTGAATGACTTTTTTTTGCAGCATTAATCTCCTTGAGTTCCTCCAATATTTCAGCCATGCGGTTGACTTTTTTTCAGTCCGGGAAGGTCTTTACCCAGACGTTGCATTTAAACATCGAGATTAGGATTTCGAGGTTTTGCCTTAGAATTTGTTTACACTCCACCTGCTCTCGATATTCAACATCGAGAACCTCAACTTCGAAGAAATTCCTCAAAAACTCAGAATTCGAGATTTTGAGCGACATCGCACTGTTTTGGTCATAACTTTTGACTCGGTGATCCGATTTAAGCGAATCATATGTCGTTGGAAAGCTAACAAAAAAATATACATGAATTCCTGGGGTTTATCACAGAACCCCCAAACACGCGCCTTCACTCGCGGTTCTTGAGGGAGATATCGTTCGCTTTCCGACAAACATTGTCATTCACCGATGTCAAGGTCAAAACTTAGGCAAATTTGTTCAAATTCTTCCAAAGTTAAACCTAAGGTCAAAACTTAGGCAAATCTGTTGAAATTCTTCCAAAGTCAAACCTAAGGTCAAAGCTTTTCTAAACTACACTGTAGGGGTCCGAAAATCGTAGACAATTCAATCAACCTCGCGTCAACGGTCATTCTACAACAATCAACAATCAACTACTAAAGCCTCCCCTAACTCATCAACATTGTGTGATCATCAATATGCTGAAATTCTAAATGATGAGCTCGGGGAAACCGTCATGTGTGGTACTTGTTCAGATTGCTCCACGCACACGACGAGTATGAGAAGCTGCGAGCAATCAACCCTTGCATATTCTGAGGGGGAGTGTTTCTTTTTCACTCCTCCTGGTGCCAAACAACGAAGAAAACACATTCCAAGGGGGAGTTTTCTACTTTACTCCCCGGGGAAACAAACAACACAACTTGCAACTTCTGAGAGGGAGTTTCATTTTTCTCCTCTTGGTACCAAACAATGTAAAATGCAAGGATTCTCTCAAGGATGCAGATTTTGAGGGGGAGTTTTCAAAGTTCTCCTCCCAAGCCCCAAACATTGTTGAATGCATCCTACTGAATGATCCAGTTGAGGGGGAGTACAGAGAGAAAACAAAAGAGCAAAGAGAAACGAGAGATAAGACCCAATGGCTTAGTAAACCCAACTTAGCCTACCCAATGGATAAAGTCAAGAGTGAGTGAGTAACTGAGTGAACACTATGAGAGTGAGGAAGCAGAAAGCTCAACTGAGCAAGAAAACAATATTCAAAGACGAGTATGCTACCTCAACTGAGCGATCAACTGAAGAATCAATCTTAGTCACTCAATGATCCGGACAATTCCCCATAGGTACAGGACTGAATTTATTCAGATCCCGGGTAGAAGTTGTTGTATCTTGTCCAACAGCACATGCACAACCCTACCCTAGACCACTCATTTGTCTCCCAACAGACTGGTGTTTAATCAAATTTCACGGGGAACCTCATTATATATCACTGTCTCCTTCTGAGGCAAGTGATACTGACTACAGTGGCCTCAGCCCCATGCCACTGAACTTTCATTGATCATGTCGTGTCTAGACACCTCACTCCCAAATGTTTTGAAATTTCTAGGACACAGACGCAGTTTTTGAGTCAGTTGCAGGTCTTCATGACCCGCGAGATCTTCCGTA